CAAGAAGAAAAGCCAGTCGTGATTTGACAGTTCAGTAACAGTCACGTTGTTCTTTAAGCTGCTGCAGTCGTGACGCACAGACAGCAAACCTTGATGCTGTTGAATCCAGAAGGGCCGAGCAGGACTCCACAGATGATATACCCAAACATAGGCGGGAGACCCAGCAGAGTGCAAATCCAACCACAAGGCAGAGAGAGCATCACCACTGAAACCAGGTCCTGTTGATAAATTCATTTAAAACCAATTAGTGCAGTTTTTCTACTTCTTTTGCAGCCTGGATAAAAAACAGGATCATTAGAGAAGAAAGCAGCGACTAACCTTGATGAAGTGATGGTCTGCTCTGGGCATCGTGGAGTCTCGTGGTTTCGTCAGAACATACTGGTTGTTCTGAGAGTCGATGAGCATACTGAGCCCCAAGTCATCCTCCACCTCCTTATGTGTGGATTTGTTCTTCATTTTCCCTCCTTTTTTCTCATCCTCTTCCACTCTCAGCACTGCTTCGACATTCACTCCCTTCATCTACACGAAGTAGAGCGTGTATGCCTAACTGTTAGTTCTGGGTGTAACAATAACTGAATATGCACGTTCTCTGACACTTAGCAGCCAAACTGAGCAGACCTGTTTGTTATTGTCAAAGGCATGCTCTTCGATCTCCTCCTCTAGGCGGTCTGCTGCCTTCCTGACGTCCTCCAAAATCTCCTCCAAGATGGACAGAGTCTTGTTCTGGGCCAAAGCGCTCTTAAGAGCTTCCTGCTGATGCTTCTCTGCAGCCACCAGCTCCATGTACTCCTGTTCTTCCTGAAATATAACAACAAAGCCCAACGAACACACTAATTTACTAGCAAAAAAAGATTGAAGAATCAAAGCTCTTTTCATATAGCGAGTGGATGTTTAAAAAAACTTAATACACCTGAATGCAACACATTATTCTACTCAATTTCAGAAACACATTTAAAGTCAACTTCAAATGAGTTCAGACTTTTTTGTTGAGGGCAAATCTGCCACATTTTCTTTAATCTGATGCTGCATTTCTGCTCAGCTTCAGAGAAAAACATCCAAAAGGAAAGCATGTGGACTAAGCAGACAGAAAAATGAAGCTTCATTTCAACTTTCATCTGATTAAAAACATCTTAAAGCAAAATTATCTTTTCGTGTTTATGATGCAAAATGCTCAACAATGTTGCAACTTCTGACACTGGTAATGTCCTACCTTATTTTGAAATTAGAAAAGAGATCATATCTCGGTTTTTGTTTTACTGAGAGGATGAAGTTCTTTACATTAGGAAAAGTTGCTTATTTTTGCATTGATTACAAAGAAAATGTGGAATGTTGTTTTCACCTTTTATTTGGCTAGTTAGGCTGCTGTTTAGGAAAGTCAGCCAGAAGCAGTATGGATTTACTTGCAAGTATAAGATCCATAAAACTCTGAAGATTTTGCTTTACCTTTATGGCTGCCTCTCTGAGGGCCTCCAGCCTCTGTCTGCTGCTCTCCTTCATATTGACCACGTCCCTGTAGTCTCCCTGCAGCGCCCTCTGCAGGCCATGCACCGCCTGGAACACCAGGTGCTCGCTCTCATTCAGCTCCTTCTGAAAAACCTCCAGAGTGTGAACCTAAATGCAAATGAGTAAAGATAAGACAAAGGAAGAAAATCATAAACTCTTTAAGTAATGTAATTCCACATGATCTTAATGTGGTACGTCTCATGAGTATGATATCCAGATATTAATCTTAAAATATATAAATTCAATATTTAAGTCAAAAAGGCTATTTGGCCAGTTATAAACAAATAATATGAGCTAATTAATAACATTTTTCACCTAATTTTCAGAAATAAAAATATTTATATCTAGAAATACATTTTCTTTTTTTTTTTTTAGATCTTTGGACATTTGAAACATCATTTAGCTAGAGACAATTTCATGTCATTGTGAAGTCATTCTACAGAAAAGGTTTTCCTAATGAACGCACAGTTTTTATAAACAGGAAGCGTCAGATAGAGCTCTGACTAAGTCGTCTGAGTAAATGTAAACATTAAAACAACAGCAGAGATTTTTCACACATCTACCAGGAAAAAGCAGCTTCATCCATTGGCTTAGAAATAAAGTTGTGGTTTCCATTTTTAACATGTTTTTACCTAACTGACTTTAAGGTATGCTTACTTTGTCTGCTATGAAATAAGTAGGCATATACATAGTACCAAGCCCCGCCCTTGTATTGGCTGTCTAACAGGTTATTATCTAAGCTTAACTCCTGCTTCGTTTACATATACATGTGTGCTTAGTCTGCTTTGTTTGCTATCCTTCCTCCTTCACCCTTGACTGAAACCAAGACCAAGGAGTTTTGAAAACCTATGAGAACTAGCTGAACACATTTTAATTCCAACATTATTATGACTTCAACAAAAAAATAAAGTAAGTAAAAAGGACCATCCGGTGGTTTGTAGAGTGATACCTGGAAGTGCTTCTCTGGCTCTGAAAGGCTTTGGTCTTTCCCAACAGCTGCCGCAGCGACTGCCAGCTTGTTGATGGCCACATTCTTCTGCCGCAGCAGACCCACCAGCCGCTTGCAGTTGTTGGTCACCCAGCTGTGGCCCTGCACCGGCGCTTTGCTCCGATAGAGCTTGATAGCATGCCGGGCCACCTGTTCCTTTGGCAGCGCAGCGAGTGCCTCAGTCAGGCCGAGGCACAGCAGCCAGCACAGAACCTGCATCCAAACTGCTTCACTGCGGTGAGGAGTTTGAGGAGAAATGCAAGACCTAGGAGGAGAGGGACAGAGTGCACAGTGCTGAAAGCATTAGAAACAAAATCCCACTCACCACACTGATAGTCGAAGCTTCATGTTTGCATCTGCTACAGATTGTGTTTTCAAATACAACCCAGATTTTTTTTTTTTACAGTTCATCCTGCTTCAATTTAGATTTTAAAGGCTGCTTAGCAGAAACACATGATGTTCCTGAAATATATTCAGAGACTGTTAATATAAGTTGCAACATTATATGTTGTATATTTGCAGGCGTTACAAATATACAGCAATAACAAAAGTATAAATATTTGGTATCTTTAAATCATTTCCCATAATCAATCGCAACAGCAAAATTAGTATACAGTTTGAGAAATTTTAAATACGTTTTTTTTTTTTAGCATTTCTGACGATTCTTTAAGCGGGTGTTTTCAAGAGAACACAGAATGTGGATGTGCGTGTCCTGTCACACCATATTCACACTTTTTTGAAGGTGTGGCTACAACAGAAATGACAGCAAACAGTGCAGTGACATGACAGGACACCTTACCTGTTTACATTCCAGTGCAACCTGTCTTTCCACGAATACCTAAATCGACAAATCAAGGAGAATACTAAACATGAGAGGCAGTTTATGATTATATTTATCAATTCAGTTATGCTTTTACCTTCAACAACATGAGTCAAGCTGAGATTTTCTAACTTTCAAAACTCTTCCTCTTCTCCTCCTTCCTTCACCTGAACTGCTGCCACTTTACTGGAGTCGCTAGAGATCAGGAGCACCGTTGTTCAGATCTGGACTGCAGACTGAGAAAACATCAGAGCACAAACATGTCACTTAAGGTTTTAAGTGTCATGTGCAATGAAACATATTATGAGTGTGAAGAGGAAAAATACGCCACAAAAACACATTTTCAACAATACTCCTCAAAATCTGATTTGATCCTTATCAAAGCTTTATTTATCTATCTATCTATCTATCTATCTATCTATCTATCTATCTTTTCACTTTTATTTACTTGCTTCCGGCTCACTAAATATGTGACAAGAAACCATAGCAGAAAACATATTGCAATAAAAGAAGTGAATATACTTCAGTCCTGTCAATATGTCAAGTATACCTTAGACAGTTGCTAGTCAATCACAGGGCAACACAGAGACATACAGGACAAATCACATCTGCCTTCCTACCTAGGGTCAATTTAGGGAGACCACACATTACGTTTTTAAGTTATTCTTATTCAGTGTCCCTAGTGTGACAATTGTGGATATTGTACTGCTGGAACTGGAGCTGGTGAAAAGCAGCTAAGATCCCCATTGAAATCACTGGATTTCAATGGACAGGAGGTCTTTAGTAATCAAACTTTAACGACAAAGTTAGCCAAGATATTAATAATCAGACGCACACATTCAAACACACCCTAGACATAAATTAGACGTACCAGAATACACAGCAGTCGGTAAAAACATCCATCAGTTTGGCGTTTTGTACGGAGTATTAAAGCAAAGCTGTAACTATTAGGGAAGTGAGTCCTCGGTCTTGGCTCTCAGCAGAGGAAGAAGTAGACAAGAACAATCGTGTAGTTGTGCCGCACCGACAGAGACAGAGACACCCCTCCCCTGCCACATAGTTGGAGCCAGCGTCGGCACAGGCGCTCCCTGCTCCTACTTCATGTTTACTCCGACCTCCACCGTACGTGACGGTTTTCCGGAGCACACAGTGGGGGACCGACGGTGAGTTTAACCTGTCTCTGGGACAACTTCACGAACCCCACTGGATAAAGTTGAGCTTTCTGGTCTGGAGTTTGTCAATTTCCAATAATTTGTTCTTTAAATATTTAACGTCGGAGCTGTCAGTCCAGCTCTAACCAGCTGGGTTCACCCTCTTCTTTCTCATGGTGACATAACGTTGTCGCTGCTAACACTTGCTTTGCTAATAATAGCAGACTAACCGTACAATATTAGAAACAACTTCTTTCGGTAAAGTACAATTTAAATGAACATTAGCCAAAATAGCAGTTTTTATTTACGTTTCTAACATCAATTTCTCGTTGTAAGTTTGATTCAACCATCAGATTACTTCCGAAACATCTTTATCAGAGCTGATATGGGAGTTGTAGTTTTTTAGGTGTGTCAGTTACTGCGCTCGTGACGTTCATGCTTTTTCAAACTGTGACAGCTAACGTCATTCTAATCCTTACACGAGACTATTTTTTTTTAAATAACAACACAATTTGAACTAAAACAACTCAACTTTGCGTCAAATATGCCTTGGAGAGCAGTGTTTTAGAAGGAAGTATTGTCGGGGGTGTTCGGCGCATTTACTAGACGGCAACAAAGTGCTTTGTTGCCAAGTGTTATTTATTATCACATAAACATGTTTTGTAAGTTTCTAAAGTAAGTGGCCTGTTGACTTCTCCGGAACTACATTTCCCAGTATTTTGGTCTGGATCGTATTTCTTCTTGCGCATGCGCACTATGAGATCGTGGATATCAAGTTGGCCAAAACAGCTGGTGATAAAATGGTAGGTAATATTTTAAAAAAGACAAACCGAGTGAGAGACAGAGAGTTGTAAAGCCCCCGTTCAACATGTCACCATACCGACAGTGGTTGTCATTAATGTTTACGGTGCAGCACCATGTGAGGGTTCAGGCTGTCCTCAGCGTCGCGTTGCCAGTCAGTGTGATGTGAGAGTAATGGAAGGTCAGTTGCTGGTATTTTGAGATCGGACACCTGCACTCGCTCTACGTACCTTTCCCTTTTTGGTTAGTGGCCCGCCTGGGTTGCTGCTGCTGCTTCTGCAGGTCAGGAGAGCCTGTGAGATCTAACGCCCCCTACCCAAGAAAATCTGGGTCACAGAGAACCTGCTGTTTGATCACCCGGTGGGTTAGTTCCACCGAGATGTGCAATCTGTTAGAGATGAACAAAGCATAACGGGGTTATTTCTGTGATGCTTTTTGAAAGTGATTTTTTACAACTCTAACTTGGAAGTGTTTGGACCCTTGATTTGAGTTTTATGCATGCATTGCTAACAACACTTAAAAATTCTCAGACTGAATGTTTAGATTTGAATAGAAATCAGATCTTTGCAATCAATTGCACCAGGAACATCAAATGCATGTCCACAGTAACACTGGGTGTTTATTATAATCATCATTGACTTTTTGTATATGGTGGTTCATTAATGCTCTACTACTAGCATGATAGAACGGTCCAGATGTAGAAGAATCTGTGTCCCTGAGTTAAAACCAGTTTTGGTGTCCTACCCACACGATATCCTTTTACACATGCAAATTTACAAAAGATTGTTCAATGAATATGAAGTTTTAACATACTGATCTATGTGTATTTTCTCTTCTTAAACAGTTTTGTAAAGAAAAAAAAGATACTTTCTAGGAATGTTTTCATTTAAACAAAAATTACCTGAAATTTTATAGTAACTATGCCAAGTCAGCATATGGCAATGTAACACAGTCACTGAAAAAAACCTTCTGCATGAAGATTAAATTTAAAGCAGATGCACACTATACCAAAATCTCATCCCCTTTCTAAAGTCTAGCACAGACAGTAAATATGTCTAAGTATTTATTTCCTTGTGTGTTTACTTGCCTGGCAGCACAAGTTGAAATCATCACAGAAGGACAAGGTTCGCCATTTTATCTCTGTCACGCAAGCAGGGGACCAAACGGCTGTGCACTGCCTGACTCAGAATGACTGGAAACTAGAAGTCGCCATTGACAACTATTTCCAGAACCCAGACTTGTACTATAAAGAACCCATGAAAACCTCAGTGGACCGCAAGAAGCTTGAACAGCTCTACAACAGATACAAAGGCAAGTGTCAGGCAGACACACACAATCTTTAGTCCCCTAAAAATCTGCACTTTTTCTCTCTGTTTAGCTAAGTTCCCTCTGTCTTTTTTGCAGACCCCCACGATGAGAACAAGATAGGCGTCGATGGGATCCAGCAGTTCTGTGATGACTTAAATCTGGACCCAGCCAGCATAAGCATACTTGTAGTGGCCTGGAAGTTCAAAGCAGCCACTCAGTGCGAGTTTAGCAGGAAGGAGTTCTTCGATGGGATGTTGGAGCTCGGGTAAAAGCCATATCAAAAAATTTCAGTATTTGACTCTGTAATGAGGTGCTTATTTTATGAACACCTGTAATATTTTGTTGTGCCATTCAGCTGTGATAGTCCAGAAAAACTCAAGGCAGTCCTTCCAAGGCTAGAACAAGATCTGAAAGACAATGGAAAATTCAAAGACTTCTACCAGTTTACGTTCAGCTTTGCCAAGAACCCAGGCCAGAAAGGTTTAGGTAAGCAGATGACGTTGGAAAATATCCCAGAATGTCACATTTTCTGTCATAAATCTAAAATACTTGTAAATGTTTTTTTTTTTCTTTCCAGAACTAGAAATGGCTGTGGCTTACTGGAATCTAGTTCTCACAGATCGATTCAAGTTCTTAGACCTATGGATCCGCTTCTTGCAAGTAAGTTTTGAAGCTTTGCTTTTTTACCCCCCAGTAGTAATTAAGGTTTTTGGAGTTTATGGGAGTGTCTTAGCTGTGCACTAGTACAAAACAGCAAATTTGACAGCACGGCTATAATTACATGGCACTTCTTCTCAAAAACATGTTTTCCACAAAAAAAAAGAAAAAAAAATCCAGTGGTAGGAGTTTGATGCAATCCACTGATTATTTCCCCCACACATATACTGCTTGTTTTGGAAATGTTAACAAGACAGCGTTACCCTGTCCTGTCCCTGCCCTGTATTCAGGAGCATCACAAGCGCTCAATTCCTAAAGACACCTGGAATCTCCTCCTGGACTTTGGCAACATGATTGCAGATGATATGTCTAACTATGATGAAGAAGGTGAGTCTCTAATCACTACTGGAAAGATTGTTTTAGAAGGTGCTGTGGCATCATTCATCTGTCTAATACAAGCTTTTCTTTTTAAAACTGTGGAATAATTGAAGCCATATGGATGGATCCCTGGTACTAAAGGGTTATTATACACTTAAAGCAAACCTTGTGAAGCAGCAAAGTAGTGCTGATACTTGTATTTGCAATAACACCTTGAAAATGTTCCGATTTTTTTTAAAAAGATGCTCATCTCAGATAATATAGATGATACAGAAAACTTTGTTCACTAATCACAAACTTCAAAATATTTCTTTTTTTTTTTTTGTTTGTTTTTTTTATAATGGGTCAACATGTAATCGTAAATTGGACGAGAAAAGTTTTAAAATTTGAAAAGTGTGATGCGCATACATATTGAACCCTGGACGCTTTTATCCCAAAATCTAATCTTGTGCAACTATTTGTCTTCAAAAGTCGCCTTGTTGGTAGAGTCCTCCTATGTTAATACATTTGTTAGTCGCTTTTACCCAAAGCGACTGAGAAATTATTTATTCAATCTCAGTATAAACACAGATGTCCTCAGGGTTGTTGGAGAACCTGAGGACCTTTAAACAAAAAAGAAAGATTATGGAACTAACCAGTGGCACGACTACAAACGTACCAATAAATGGTGGTATATTTGAACTGGCAGGCAAGAGAAGGAGAGGATTATTCTGAAAAATTATAATTTATCATTCTATGTGAATATATTGAAGTTTGTGATAGTTGTAAAATGTGAAAAAGTTTTTTTTTTTTCACATTTTAGTAGTAGTATTTTAGTAATAGTATTCCACTTGTCAGACTGCTACTTTTGGATGTTAACTAGTATTATCCTTTTTGTCTTCTGCTCAGGTGCCTGGCCTGTGCTCATCGATGACTTTGTGGAGTTTGCTCGGCCGATTGTAGCAGGAAATAAACGCAACCTGACGTAATATTTGCCACAGCTTCACCAAATGGAGGATGCCGTTTTCTTTCTTCCATTTTTTTTTCCTATTTATTAATGAGATTATGATACAAGGTAGCCTAAAGAAACAGCTTTTAAGCAGGTTGGCCTGCAGATTTTCAATAATTTCATTAATTATTCTGCTGCTAAGAGGCCTTTGAAGAGGAGAAGAAACACAGAGGAAAAAAACAACACCAAAAGAAGAGGGAACTGTTTTGTTTTTACTTTCTGCTGTTGTGGACAGATGCTGGAAATGTTTCATGAGACTGATGAGTAAACCGATACTCATCACTTAAACTTGCAGTGTTGGTAGGTTTGAACTGCCACTGTGGACTCATTTAAAAGCACATTCAGCAAAGCAGTCATCCAGACTAAAGGCTTTTAAGCTCCTGCGGGTGTGAATGAAACATTGTGATAAGGTTTGGCTGTTCTGTCAGTTAGTATGAAGCTGTTTGATGTAGTCGAGGTTATCAAAATTTGAGAATATGTGTTTGCGTTTGTTACCGTATGTCGTACGAGTGCATTGGGTGGAGGTAAAATATGTTGCCTTCTGCACAAAAGCTGTTTTTCTTTTTTTGGTTTGAGATGTCATATAGTCAACGTTCACCTTCACCAAGTGAGAGTGAAAATGTTCAGATACACTATTTACGTCCAGTCCGATGACTGGACGAAGCCTCATGTTTTCTGATCTCAGCACCAGCATAAAGGTCGCTATAATGATTAAAATCCAGCTCTCATCAAAATGAGAATCTAGATGGTCAAAAATATATATTTGACATTGCTTGCACAAGACAGGTAATGGCATTTAGAATCTAATTGTTCACACTGATCTTTTTCCATTTTCCACCTGGAAAATGGAAAAAGCTTTACATTATTTAGGGCTGGGCACTGCAGTGCCTAAGAGCTTGAATTTCAATCTGTCTCTGGACTGTTTTCAGTTACCCAGGTGAAGCCTTGTCACCTCTTCGAACTGCACTGATATACACTTTTACAAGTACAGAGCTGTTCAGTTTACATAACAGTAAGTTTAGCTTTTTTTTTTTTTTAAATGAGGTACGCACAGCCAAGAGTGTTTTAAATGTTTGTTTACACTGTTTGAGGTTTGCGCTGCCTCATCATCAAAAGGTCATTGGGCTGTTGTGCTGCCATCAAGCGGTGGTTGAGGATTATAGCCTTTTTAATTGCGCTATAGGCAAGTTCTACATAAGACTTTGGTTGTTTTTTTGTTTTTTTTTTTGTAATTATCAGATTTACTGATGAATATGCTGACTGCAGCGTTACAGGATGCAGAGCTCAGGTACCAGCAGCTATCTCTGTCAGCACTGTGTGTCGTCCTGTTCTTATATCAGAGCTCACCCAGTTCCATGTTTTACAGATTACTGCTGTCACCATAACATAACCTTTGCCATACTTTGTCAATAAGGATCATGCATTATTTTATAGCAGAGCAGCTATGCACTGTAAAGTAGTTAAGTTTTAGGTTGATAAGTTTAAAATAGTTTGAGTGAAATTATAGATACTAGTCCAAATGATTGAGTTTATTCCACATTAAATCCAAATCAAGTGCCATATTTCTCATCACATCAGCTGAGCATGAGTTGATCCAGTGAAACATTGTTTAAAAAAAAACAAACAAATGTAACTTATTTAGACCAGTCAGAAATATGAAACTGAAGATATGAAAACATCTGTTTGAAATCAGTACAATACTTATGTATTTTATGATACGCATGTATTGTACTCATGTGGTGGTCCATTGGTACATTGTCTTTGTCAAATGTGTCACTGTTCCTGATGCAGAATGTTCTTATTTTAACAGTGTTATTTTGGCTGTGAAAGAAAGCAGCTCTTAATGGATCAAAAGCATTTCTCAGTTGCATTGGTATTAATAAAAAAAATGTCAATATAGTGTGATTTTTCTTTTTGCTACAGATGTCCATTGTCACTGCACTTGCACTATTTTGCCAAACGTTTTCACTGATCGGCTTTCACACTTGCCATGTATGAACTCAAGTGGCATCAGATTTTGGCTCATCCTTTGCAGCATGGCTTAGAATCACGTCTATATGAATCTTTGAACATTCGTGCCTTTTTGAGGTCGGACACTGATGCTGGACACGAAGGCCGAGATTACAGAGTCCGCTCATATTCATCATTCATGTTTAGTTGAGAGTAGGACTCTGCTGGCCAATCAGGTTTTTCCGCACCATGTTCATTCATCCATATCTTTACTGACGTTTTGTGCACAGTCATGTTGGGCAAGAAAGGGAATATCCCCAAACATTTCCAGTAAATTTGGGAGCAAGACATTGTCTGAAATAATTTAATATGCAGAAGCATGAAGTGTGCCTTTCTGTGGGCCTAGCATACTTTGGATGTGTATTTTTAGATTTATGTTGTGTATCAAAGAGAGAACTTAAACTATCTGATAAAACTGAGAACTTGCAGCCCAACTATATTCCATCTTCCGTAGTATATGAGCAATGTTGTGTTTGGAAAAAATGTAAAACTGAACTGTGTGGCTGCCTTATGCTGTATGCAAACATTGTTCCATTGCAGATTTAAAGCGACAGCAGGTGTCTGTTCAGGTCAAACAGAGTTGGATGTAAATTACACAACAGCAGTGAATGTGACGGAGGAAAAAAATCGATTCCACATAATCACAGCTCTCTGGTACGCTAGCAGAGAGCTGCTCAACTTGGTACCAGTTGTCGCTTATCAAGTTGCATTCTTGCTACATATCGTCATCATCAGCTCTTAGTAAAGCTATGTCTGAATATAAGCTTAGAACAAAGTACACCGACAGATATGCACATAAAAGGCATATTACATGTATGTGTGAGACACAAAAGTAACAATACTGAATACACTGATACATAAATCAGTTGACTGGATTTAATTAGTTTCTTGAGGGTGAGTTGTTGTGTGTGAGGGTGCATTGTCCTCTCACAGGACAGGTGAGATGTCGATAAGCTCTAGCACCAGCTGCTGGACATGCTTGCACTCAGGCCCAGCGGCACATTAGCATCTTTCCCACCCTGTGTCCACCCCTGATTACCGCTCCAAAGCCCGTCATCCAGCATTTAAGCTTTGGGTCCACAGGGATTGCCTTTTTAGGAGATGCATGGACACAGCTGAGCTCACCATTGCCCAAGACAAAGAAGCTGAGGGTGATAATGCAGTGCTTTCATGTTTGCGTGTGTGTGTGTGTGTGCGGCCAGCCTTGCTACTCAAAGTTAGTTTGGTAAACTGATAGGAGAACCTCGAAGATGGAAGGCAAGCAGAACTGTGGTGCAGCAGATGTGGAGAAAATGGCTGGAAGGGTTTGAAATTCAAAAGATTTTTGGTTTCTCTTCATTGGCCCATGACTGTTCACCTGTTGAAAGTGGAAGGAAGACCTGCAAGGAGATTCATTCAGGAGGGTATTATTGTCTTAACTTCAGCTGGGTGTGCCATTGAGAGAAAAATCCAGCAGGATGGAGAAGTTTAAAGCAGCCATGGTTCTCGGTGCCGTTGGCGACGCTTTGGGCTACAGGAAGGGTCGCTGGGAAAGCTGCACGTCAGGCAAGAAGATCCAAGAAGAGCTGGCGTCTCTGGGGGGACTGGAGTCCCTGAAGCTGGACCCTGACAACTGGCCCCTGAGTGATGCAGTGCTGATGCACATGACCACAGCTGAAGCCCTCATAACAGGTATGTGAAGAATTGATTTCAACAAGGATGACAGTATTTTTGTTTTTGTCAACACTGAGAAAGTTGTAGCAGCTTTTAAGTACAAAAATGTACATATACCTTCACATGAAACTAGTACTTTGCATATTGTTAGAAATATCCAAGCACATTGGATTAGATTAAGGATACTTCGACCCACTCCTTTGAACGTATAAATACACTTTGCTACTGCTCTTCTTTTGTTTTGTTTGCTTTTGTTTTAAATGTATTTTGTTTGTATATACCTGTATATTATTTTATTACACTACATTCAGCAAAGTCAAACTACGTTAGCTAGAACAATCTAAAAAGACTAAACTAAGTAACATGCCATCATCCGTCATTGCAACCAAGCATCAAAGTCTTTGGAAAAAACATGACACAGTCTGGATGCATGTTGACCTCCCCTGTAGCATGTTACTGGACTGAGAGTCCAAAAAGTCCAAAATAGACTACTCTGGAGAAGTCGATCCGCTGAACAATGGCGGATCAGTGGCCTCTGTAATCTGCTGGTATCATGTTTGGCTGTAGATGCAGCCAATAAGTAGCCACAATGGTTCTGAGAAAAAATAGTGATGACATCTTTCAAGATTAGGAATCCCTATTTAGCAACCATCCAGCTTGTAGAGACACCAGCTGGATAGACAACAATGTATCGAGAGTAAAGCATCATGTTTTTGCTTTTAGTCATGCCTCCCAAAGTTCAGATTTATGAAATGCCAACGTTTATGCTAAAACAATACAATTGTTTTTTCCCCTTATTTCTAGCTGATGAACAGTTTAACTTGATCAAAGAACAAATAAGTCATCTCATTATTGAAGCAGTTCTTTTGGACCGTTAAACGTGATGATGCAATTCAAACTTGAAATTAATTGACCATTTTCCAAATCACAAATGTGAACGGGTCCGTAACTTAGATTATTTCTCCCATGCAAAGATCACAGATATAATGTTCAAGGACCATTCAAAGTTTGCTGAAGTGACATTGTTTTTTGACCACAGGCATTCTGGTCCTAATCTGTGTTGTGGTGGAGTGGGGCTAAACTTAGCTCACGGCGGCCCCACTTATCTTTCCCTGCATGCCAGTCATGAATGACTCCTAACCACTGTGTGTACATGTGTTTGTGTGTGTCCAGATTACTGGTGTCTGGAGGACTTGTACAGGGAGGTAGTGCGTCTCTATGTGGAAGCCATGGTCTCTCTCCAGGGACGAGCTCCTGATCCCGGCACCGTGGAGCCCTGCGTTCACCTAAAACCTCATAACTTCCTGCTCGCTTGGCATACACCTTTCAATGAAAAGGGTAGATTAAGATTAAGATTTAGGAAGGTTTGTGTGGTATAAACCAAACATAAATACAGTAAAAAAAAAATAAAATAAAATGTATGTCCGTATCCAGGGTCTGGATTTGGAGCAGCAGCCAAAGCCATGTGTGTTGGTATGAGATACTGGCAGCCTGAGAGACTGGATAACTTGGTGGAGGTCAGCATTGAGATTGGCAGAATGACCCATAACCACCCAACAGGTGATGTGCTGGTAATTTCGAACTTCCAATGACGGGCCAAATATTGTGTTGCTGTTCGACTGTTCAGTAGATCTACTTTTGTTGATTCTGTTTCCCCAAATCTTGCTTGAACCTACCACATGAACTGTTCATCCTGAGGCTCTTTGGAACAGGTTAAGGACATAAATTAGCTTTTATGCAGGTGCGTTGGAGCAAGGACACAACTAAAAAATGCACTGCACAGGCCTTTAAAGACAGCGAGTCCGCTCTTATGAACTCTTCTTGTCCAGCTTCTTTCTATGCATAACATAAACCGTTCAAAGAGGAACAGGCCCTACACAGTGTCTCTACTGAGCATGAGCATGATTTACTTTTACACGCTCATCCTTTGTTTCAAAATCTACTCAAAGATCCACTCGAAAACAAATCTTTTAATCTCAGTCGAACTAGACCAAAGCACATGGTTCCATTTTATATTTATAATATCAGGAGAGCAAACACTTTTTCCGACAAACCTTGCAAATAACCGGTTTGCATATGAAAATGATTGTTATGGCGACTTAGTGAACCAGTTCTCTTTAGATACGAGTTTTACTTACAGTATTGTCCTCCTGTTCATGTGTGGTATCAAGACAAACCTGGATTGTAATCTAACCTTATTTGTCACAGTTGCAGCTGTACAAAACATTTGAGATTAGAGCTGCGACTGATACAATGAACGTGTTTAGGCAAGAAGCCGTTTTCTTATTGCCATGTCGTGACATATAACAACGACTGCAAATCTGCTCTACTTGAAAAGCAGTGCCTACTTGTCTTTCACATTTTGATTAGTGGCTGATAGAAATTCGATTTTTTTTTTGTAGCTTCATTCTTATACCTTATAAAAGGAAGCTACAAATTAAAGGTTTTTGGAACCTGACCATAAAAAAAGAATAAAAAAGTGAAAATGTAAAAAATAAAAAAATAAAAATAAAAAAATCACCAGGTAGATTTATGTAAATGAATAATTGTGAAGGTGCTGTAATATTCTTTGACTACAGTCTGAAGTGCCAAAGTCACGTTTGATGTCTCTCTCTTCTCTTGGCTTCAGGCTTCCTCGGCTCCCTGACAACAGCATTATTTGCATCCTTTGCAATCCAGGGGAAGCCTCTTGTGACTTGGGGCCGTGAGCTCATGAAGGTCATCCCCCGAGCAGAGGAGTACTGCAAGAAGACAATACGACACATGGCAGGTTGGACTCTGGCTCAGTCTAGATCATTTTAAACAACAAATCCTAAAACTTCTGCATTAAAAAGAGATCATCAATGTATGTTATTATAAATTCTTGTGCATTTCTGTAAAAAAAAAAAAAGTGATCCCTGAAGTGCATTTTTTTACATGTGTTTACACAGAATATCAGGAAAACTGGTTTTATTTTGAGGCTAAGTGGCAGTTTTACCTTGAAGAGCGAGAAATTGACAAGGACGGACAAAACAAACCATCATTTCCTGATGGCTATGATGCAGAGGAGACTGATAAAGTATGTCCCTTGGGGTTCTTTATTTCTCATACTATCAAATCAACGGATTCCACCCCTTTACAGACACAGGCCGTTTTCTTTTTTTTCTTCCCTCAAAGCAGATGTACAAGCGTTGGAGTTCAGAGGGTCGGGCAGGGCGCAGAGGTCATGATGCTCCCATGATCGCCTACGATGCGCTTCTGGCCTCAGGAAGCAACTGGACTGAGCTGTGCAAACGAGCCATGTTTCATGGAGGTGAGAAACTTTGACTTGCAGACCTGTACGTTTTACGGAACTGCGCAGAAAAAACAAAACATTCAAAAATGTCTTTATTTTTAGCTGACTTTAAATAGCTTTGGCTGCGTTTTTAATTGATACGGTACAGTATTGTGAAGATAGAAGCACATTGTGAGTTAAGGAACTCTGTAAACATGTTGTTTTAGGTGAGAGTGAAGCCACGGGCCTCATCGCAGGCTGCCTCTATGGCCTCATGAATGGCCTGAGCCAGGTTCCTCAGAACCTGCACCGGGACTTGGACAAAAGAGAACGGCTGGAGGAGCTGGGAGAAGCACTCTATAATGCAGCTTCTGCAGAGAAATGCACAGAGAAGTAATCCTGATCTCCACTGAGCTGAACTCTACTGGCTGTCAGAGGAACAGAGCGTGACTCCTCACTGTGGCCAACACCCTCCTTCATTCCCTGACTAGTTTTATGAGTCATGCTGTCCTTTTCTCACCGCTCACTCCTTGCTCTCTTTGATTTTTTCTGTCCACTATCCACACATCTGTCAAAGGTTTTATAAAAAGGTTAAATTGCATCTCACTAAAGATGCGTAACTAAGAAACGTTAAAAGAAAGGAATTAGCCTGACTTTTTTTCTTTGAATATCTTACTTATTATCATTCATATGTAATCAGTTGTCACAAATCCAGATATCATGCTGTTTGCTTAAAAGAATCATTGTCTTGATCTGCCAGTGACAGAGTTGTGGGGAAAGAAAAAACCTTCTGCTTTTTTTAACTTTAGTAACTTGGAGGTGGGGGAAGGTAGATCTTTCCTTTCTCTGACTGATGCATTTTTTTCTAAACCTAACGTTTATTAACATGAAGCACAAAGAGAAAAATAATTAATCTAATCAGCTTACAGTTTGAGCAAGTGCTGTCAGTGAAGGTGTGAGAAAACCTGCTTCTGCAGCTAGCTTTTGCTTAACTAATTTTCTTTTGAATCAAAGATTTTCAGAAAAGAATTTAAATATACAAGTTTAACTTTTTAACCTTTTGCTGTCCTTAGCTTAGTGGTGCAATCAGGGTTGGCTTGAAATGAATAAAAGGTCGAGTTGTGAAATAAGAATAATGTTTCCCTGTACTGTGTGAAAGTATTTGCACAACACTCGTATTACAGTTTTAAACCACAGAAATGTGAAAAAGCTAAAAAGAAAAACAACAACAACTTTATTTTATGCATGCATGAGCCAACATGGGATTCTCAGAGTGACAATGATCTCATGGTAATTGAGCTACACCATTAGAATATTATTTATGGCGTTTTGCTCTTAAGAGAGTTGAACAAATTGATATATTTATATATATATTGCCTAGACAAAAAAAAGTTTAATTATTCTATCTTTTAAGCCAGCAAGAAAAAATCAGTCAGCTGACTTGCAGTGTGCAGCAACAGCTACTTTATGCTTCATACAGACAGAGTAGACTGCATCACTTTGACACTTTCCATTTCTTACACTGCAAGAACAGAATGACAGAAGAGCTTCGTGGTTTTTAAAGCATAACTTTTTAAAACCTCGGTATGCCTTTATACTAGTAACCAGTCCACGCCTAATTAAAACAAATTGAACTGGCTGACTGTGTCTCCCTGTCTTAACATATATTTCAAGCTTGCCTTTTTGATTTTCAAGCAAACTTCTTTGTCTTGTTTGTCAGCTCCTTACCACAGTTCAAAGAACTGCAGTCTGGAACATTTGATCAGCTTCAAATGTGATCTAAATCCTAAATCCTTGCTTTTGCTGCGGTAATAAGAGAACTAATGAAATTGCCAGTTCAAAGAGGGCAGAGATTTTCACTGACTGATTAACAAAGTTAATAGGTGAAGTCAGAAAATGTTCCTTTTAGAGTTTAGATAAATTAAAACTGCTTTTCTCTAAAGGTCAATTCCCAAATTGCTGCTAAGGATATTGGTGTCAGTTTCAAAACGTCTTGCATGTCCTCTATTCTCCATAGACCAGATTGTTGGAAACCCGGAATCAGCCCCGATGTCGGTGCGTTGAGGAGGCTGCTTAGAGACCCCAAATGTCGACCAGTGCTCCGAGGGATTTTTGAGAGTCTCCTGCATTATCTAACGCACAACCTGCTCAAGAGGACGACCGATAACACAAGCATGGAGACGCCAGAATCTAGCAGTGCATCACAAATTCACACAAGAAACACTGTCAAATCTGATCTGCAGAAGGCAAAAAAAACTCAGTTTCAGAAAGGCGTCAGAGCTGAAAGCAGTTCCAACACTTCTGAAAGGTGCAAAGCCAATCAAAGTCAATCAAAAGCAGAATTGCCATCTCGGCGCCTTACCACGTTCCAGCTTCTCCAATCTAAGTTCTTAAGGTCTTCGCCCAAACCTTTCAGCACCAATCAGAGGGCGGTAGGAACTCTGCCTCCCAGCAGAGGGGTGCAAGGTCAAGATAACCTTTTTAAAAACAGAAATCACAACACAGACACCAGGATCAAAAGGCTAAAAAGACGTGGTAGTGTGAAAGAAATTGTTGCTAAATTTGCCCTGGCCGAGCAAAAACAAGAGGGTTCTAAAACCTTGAAGGAAGAGCCAATCAAACCTAGACCCATTGGAAGAGGAATCCTCCTAAATTCCTTAATGACGAGATTTGAAAACATAGCCACTGCATGTAAGAAAAGTGATCTATTTTTGTCTCACAAGCCGGCTTGTGGGGGAGACAGGGTTGAATGTCAAATAAAAGAAAAAGTAGCTGGTGTTGAAAGAGGGAAACACCAGGTGAACGATCAAACATTCAACAAGCAGAACCCAGGGATGAGTCAGCAGTGTAACTCCGATGTGCAAAAATCAAAAAGTAATAATATTACAAGTGACCAACAGCAAAAGCCAGGTCAGCAGACAGACATTTTAATAAAAGCAAATTCACACACAGAAGATGGGAGTCATCTGAGAGCAGCAGATTCCTTGGCTCAAGAGGTTTGCTTTTTACTAAACCAAATGAAAGGTGAAGCTCGTGATGTTGATATTGAGAATAAAGGCTCAGAACAATTCAGCCAAATCCCGTCTACAGTCATAGAGGCTGAACTTACACAAAGAGTTAAATTTGCAGAGATAGAAGTACTTCCTTCAATGTCAGTGTCTGAATGGTCACTTCCACAACCCTGCAAAGTTCTTCCTCAGGAGGAAATCCCAATAAACTGGCAAAGAGCCACAGTTGTGATCTGCTCCCTTGCCTGGTCCACATGTACAGATTCCACTCCTGAACAATCTAAGAGGGAAATTAAATCTGAGGTTTATGAAAACTGGGAACAGGACAAGATATCAGAGGAAACCCAAGGAAATCTGTTGGGAAACCTGGAATGTTCTTCCAGTAATTTAGAGGGAGATGTATCCAAAAAAACAGACAGCATAGCAGACTCAAAAACCAAACCATATTCTTTGGAATATGCCAACGGAGAGATCAATCTCCAAAGACCAAAGCTTACTCAAGAAACGTTTTCAAGGTCTGTCATCCCATCTATTTACAGATTCAGTGGTGAAAATAATCCGATTGAGTCAACCCCACATCCCAAATGTATAACTTCTCTCTCTGAAAATCAGCTGTCATATTCATCTTTGATTCATCAAGGAAATGACGTGTCACGCTCAATGGAAGATATTGAAGACAAGGGCAGATGCAGTCCTCATTTCACTGGTCATCCCGCTGTAACAACCAGGAAATCAAAGGATGGAGCTGAAGCAACACACAAAGAAGCCATTGAAGAAAGAAATGAAGATGGAAAAGTATCAGCAAAAAATCATATTGGAAAGCCAGGAAACTGTAGCCATTTGGAAGAGACTGCTAACAAGGAGGCATTTGCAGGGAGTGACAGAGATAACGTAAAACAGAGGCCAAAGTACAAAACCATCAATTACGCAGATTCTTCAGTGAAACAAACATATAAGCCTAAAATAATACGATTTATGGACACATTCACTTTCTAGGTTTGGTGACCCAAGTCAGAATCTGCTAAAACTAAACAGTTACTGCTAATTTTGGCTAAACTTGTTGTTACATAGAGATCTTTGGGTTTTAAAGGAAGAGTGAAAATGAAAAACAAAATATTCAAAGTGAATAAATGTTTGTGAAGCCTAAACAACAGAAAACTACCTCAACCTTCACAGTTATATTTTGTGTAAATTAGTGTTGTCAAGTAGAATTTTATGGTCTGTCTGGTATGTCGTTTTAAATATTGCATATCTCCTTTATCACACCTCCTTTATCCTTTATCCATCCTTGAGTACTCATGCTTTGAAAATAAATTAGCTAATTCCTGTTGGTATCTAAAATCCACAAGGTAACAAGTATCTTTACAAGGCTGTTTACACAGAAGACAGTAGGTTTTTTTTATGACCTTGTCTTATTACGTTTCTCATTCTTTTTCATGTGAAGTTACAATATCGCAGCTACCAGACACATCTCGGCTGTGCCTAAATTGGGACAAAGTGAGACTTGTTCAGAGTTGATAAGCGCTCGCACCGCAGAGACAAACATGTCCACAGTTGGAAGTGAATCAGCTGAGGCAAAGCCCAACACCTGCAGGCAGGATCATACCACTGCAGACACTCTGAATATCAACTTTTTCCTGCAGTTTTACTAGAGAACGACACAAAATGAGGACATAAAAATTTGAATTCTTAAAGATGTTTAATTCAAGAAGAAATTGTGGGGAAACAAAAGTCTATACATCTGTGTTAAAATGGAAGGATTTTGAGAAGTAAATACAATGAGACCACATATAGCTACATCAAAACTTTTCTCCACCTTTGATATGACATTTAAATTATGTAGCTCAAACGAAAAAAAACTAATTTGACAAAGGGACAAATATAAAAAGGAATAAAGCTTCAAAACCTTGGTTGAATAGCAAACAGATATTTTATGGAGTCACCTTTTGATTTAATTTTTGCATTCAGTTTTCTCTGGTAAGAATCCGTCTACATCCCACTTCCTGGCTGGGCTATGAATACCCACTCAGCCTTCTCCAAATCTTTCTGACTAAAAACATCTGTTGTCCTCAGGCCTCTTCATGTGACCTCACAGATTTTCTGGCCCCTTTAACTCTGGACTCTGTCTCACTCCAGACATTTTTGTATTTCTTGTGGTTTCATCTGTTGATGTTAGCATATACTCACTGTGACTCTAATAAATAAATTCAGTTTTACCTTCAGCCTAAGGTCAAAACAGATTGTTTAACAGTTCTTTTATCCATCTAGACAGAAAAAAGCCAAATTCCATCTGAAAAAGATGGAATGATGCTGCCCCCACTATCTTTCCCTATGAGTACGGTGTTCTTTTATTGATGTGCTGTTTCAATAAATGGTTTGTTCACACATACATTTTGAAATTACTGCCAAAAGTTGAATCTTTCTTATGGAGAAATGTTAGATTTTAGTTGCGGCAAAAAATGTTTTGTAGGTGACACATTGTTTTTGCTGCATTTTAGTGCTTTTAGTCATGTACGATTAAGTGTCTGTCGAGAAACGCAGCTTATTGTGATTGCATTGTTTTTAAAAGATAACATCTTGTGTTCTTCAAACTAGTGAATAATTTTGTATTCTGTCTGTTAAACAGATCACAGGCAATAAAAGTGTGTATTTTATTTTAAGGAAGCTATTCTAAAAAGTATTAACAATTTTTGACCTGGTGAAGCGTGTGTTTGTATTTTCTTGCAAATACTGAGAAGATTACAAAGTAGGAATCTTAACAACAACAAAAAAAAACTTCCCACTTTTCCTCAAAGCCCCATGAATGCAACTTGAGTCCCTTTTAAACACTCAGGAATCTCTTAGTTACGACGTTACCGTAAATCCCGTGAAGGCAGCATTAGATCTGATTTAGTTTGTTCCAAATCCTCGGTTCAACTGCCCGGGAAGGAGGAGGGACACTAATTGGATAAACGTCCAGGAACATACGGTGGGTGGGATCGCTTTGGGGCTGGTTCTGGATATTTTCTTTGCTCTACAGAACAAGTTAGGTTAGCTCAACGAGAGACCGAGGACAAGCGGGAGCAGGTGCTTGTGGATGGCGATAAAAAAAAAAAAAAACAGAGGAAAACTCTCCAGATTCCCGACACGACTGATTGTGTTGACTGCGGCTGTATTGATAAAATATAAGGGTGACTTAGTTTAGAACTACTAATTTACCTCGAAGGGGCTTCGGGAATATTCCTTACGGATTTTGGGATTCTAGAGTAAGTTAATCTTAAGGGAGAGCGAGCGAGAGCGGCGTCCCGTCCCGATTCTCTGCACTCCAACATGGAGAAAGTGAGCCTCCAGGACATCTCGCCTCAACTTAACTGTGTGTCGATTCGCTTGTGAACTTTTTGGTTTTGGAGAGGGAAAACGCGTCGACGTGCAAATGCTGGAATCCTAGCTCAGTTTTTGTTGTACTGGAGCGAAAGCGGCAACGGGGACGCAAATCAACGAGACACGATCCACCATGGACCAGAGTACGGCTAAAGACAGAGTGGACAGGTAAAGCTGGGGGACCTAACGGTGTAATTCATCACCGTTAAACACGGTTAAAATGCTATTTTATCAATAACAACACCTCAACAATTTCTAAGCCTTTCAGAAAAACAAAGAGCTGCAAGATTATTCTGGTCCTCACGTTGTGCATGTTGGTGAAAATGTATGAATCTAGGCAATCTAGTAGTTAGCCAGTGACTTGTTACATTAATAAGTTAGTAAAATAACGGTTGTTTCTTTGAGTCGCCCTCCTTTATCATATTTTTGAACATCAGTTTTATTCTGAAAGCGTACATTTAGACTGCAGTCTGTTAGCATTGATGTATTATGGCTTGCAAACTCTTGTTAAATGTTTTATAATCGTTTTAAGTTAAAGATTTACTCCATTGAGAAGCTACCTCCTCATCTCAGCTGTTGTGTATTTGAACTTTATTCAGCACTAGATTAAAAGGACGTTTCACTACTTTTAAAATATCTTGAAGTATGTTGATCTTTATTTGTTCATTTCCAAACAGTAGTCCATATCAAGAATTAAAAATGAATAAAATCATCAAGTAAAAATGACACAGCCATCACAAAACCAATAAACAGTTATTCAGTTATGTTAGACCAGCTATAGTTAAAAATATTTACACATTCCCGAATGCTCAAAACTCAAAAATTCTCAATTTCAGAGCTTTTTATGACCGTGGTGGATGTAAAGCCAGGTCTAAAGCCACAACACTTACACAAACTTAGATATCCAAAATTTTAAAGAATGAATATTCTGTGTATTATAATTGAAAAATAGAGTTAATGTTTGTTTTTTTTTATGGGTTGACTTTTTTTTTTCTTTTTGCGCACTCAAATGCTTTAACTGTACACTGAAAATGCATTTGGTGTAAGACACTTTTATTTTAGGTTTGATTTTTTTTCCCCTAAAAAAATACTTGCAATGAAGATATTTTCTGCATTAAACACACATTTTCTCAATTTTGTTTTTTGTTGTCACATTTTTCCCCATTCTCATTGAGCTTTAGCATCTTTTTCTGCATCGTTTTTAGTATATGGAACACAACTAATTTAAACTTTCTTTAAGTTTTCTCTAATGGAAATACTCTATGTAAAGCATCTCATTTGCATCTGAGCAGGAATAATGCAGGTTATTCTGATGACAGAAATGGCTGCAACATTTATGCAATCACTTAAAACAATATTAAGTGATCCCAGTGTCTAGTTTGCTGCCATACATATGGACATTAAATCAAATGTCCTTTTGAAAACTATAGCTTTGTTTTGTTAAATGTCAGCTCACAAATTATTTATAGCTTTATTTTAATTAATCCTTTGGGTCATGTCTTGATTTTATGTTCCACTTCGGTTTGTGATCACACAGACTCAAAACAAACCTATCAGATTTCTGAACTGATGGTCTGTTAATGTGTTAGTTCCTCCGGCATGACTTTGCTCTTTGGGAAGGTTAAGCAGTAGGAAGATTAACATGTTACTTAAGGCATTAGCTGCAGCTACCTACACCCACACTTTGTCTTCTAGGAAAGGAAGATATGCCTGCCATGCCTAAATTAGCACGACGTAATCAGTGGTTGTCGAATTATCACAACTATCAATACTAGCATTACTAGACCGACATGGGAACCAGTTCTGTTGATTGTATTGAGACAAGTTAAGTTTGACTACGGCCTAACGTAATTCTGAAAACAATCCCTCCAGTTGCTCTTTAAAATTAGTTTGAAACATTTTTCTTTTTGGCTCAGAATTGATCCGTATGGCTTCGAGCGCTCGGAGGACTTTGATTTTGAATCCTACGAGGAGCTCATGTCCGAGTATCTCATCATCTGCACCCGACGCTCCATCAAGTGGTCCAGACTGCTGAAAGATACTGGCAAGGTGCAAAGGACTGTAAAACGTAAGTGTGAAAACCAAACGCACCCGCGTCCACGCATAAACGAATGGCCGCACCGAAACCCAAGCCAAACGTTCTCCTTGTCGTTCAGTAAAGCGCTACGTACGCAAGGGGATCCCCAATGAGCACCGCGCTTTTATCTGGATGACGGCCAGCGGCGCTCAAGAGCAGCTGGAGAAGAACCCAGGATACTACCAGTCCATGCTGGTGACCCACAATGACTCCAAACTGGTGGAGACCATCAGGACAGGTCAGGCTTCAGCGGCTGCTTCTTCACTCTGAGATCATCTCCTTTATAGGGCTTGTGCCGAGACGTGAGCTGCCATCCCAAGTTCAGCACATTTTTGGCTGCATTCACTCTTCCCTTAATTCAGATCAGTCCCTGCGGCTGAGAAACACACACACACACACACACACACACACACACAAACGCCGGCACACACAGCACAATGTTGCTGCATTTTTATTTATTTTTTCACTGTAGGAAAGGCTTTAACCAGATGAGCATTTCCTGGTTTATCTGGCATACGTGCTCCTTGGATCTTTTTAAATGGCATTGATTTTGCTTGTTTGACCAGAGATACGTTTTTTTTTCTCTCTCTCTTTTTTTTTCCTTCATCGTCCTAAAGTTAATTTGTAAGGATGAAAGAAACTTTATTGAAATAAAGTTTTTAAAATGCTATTCTCTGCTTTAAAAGTAATCAATTTCCTGCTTGTGTTTAATGATGCGTCACTCTTATCCATATTTGCACCCACAAACCTGCAGAAAGCATCATTACCATCAGCTTGTTTGAATCTTTCAGACTTGAACAGAACGTTCCCAGACAACGTCCTGTTCCGCAAGTCTTCTGACCCGTGTCTGCAGAAATCTCTGTTCAATGTGCTGCTGGCCTATGGCTACCATAACCCATCGGTGGGCTACTGCCAGGTACTGCTCGCCTTCCTTAATCCAAGCTGAAACAGATTTCTTTTTATCTTCGTTTTAGTTTGTAATAATTGCAGTTCAGAAAAATAATACGTCAACATCATTAACTAGATCAATCGCTACTATAGGTAAAAAATTAATTTCTATGTTGTTGCAAGTTGGTGTAGTGGAGTAATAGAAAACCAGGAGAACTGACAGTCATGACATGGATTCTGCTGATTTGCTGAAACTGAATCAGAAGAGTTGTGATCAAAACCACTATTTCAATCTGGTGTGCTTATATACTACAGACCACAATTTCAAATAAAAATAAGACATTTTTTGGGAATAGTTTTTATAGCATTTTATGTAAGCGCTCAGAAAGAGGCTGGCTGTGTCGGCTTGGTGCGCCTTTTTGTTTGTTTATTAGAATTTGAAAGGCAAATATCGTTTACCAAAATGCAGCTGGCTTTAAATTCAAACAAGGTTTCAGAGTATAAACAGATTCCATTCATCCCCTCTGAAACCGGCGTGGTTTTATTTGGGACGTCTGTGTGTGTTCCTGGTACACACACGGCTTTTTTTTTTTTTTTTTTTTGTCATGTCGTGCCTGTTAAACCAGCAGGAACCAGTATAACGTAGCTGTAGTTTGGAAACTCCCCATCACACCTGGAGGGTTGCCATCTTTTCCACGACATGCAAATACTTTTTAGATATATTTTATAGTAAAGGTCAAATTATCAAATTATCAGCATGGTCAAGGTTTTTAGCAGATATCTTCAATTTTGTACTAGACTTTTAAATGGTCCTCCGAGTCAAACTGCTCTTCTGTATGATGAAATGTGTGAACGATGTATTCAAGTCTCATTTATTTTATTTGTTTTTCTATCTGTAGGGCATGAACTTTATTGCTGGTTATTTACTGATTATCACTAAAGATGAAGAAAAGTCTTTCTGGCTGATGGATGCACTGATTGGGAGAATTTTGCCAGGTATGTTCGCGAATCGATTTTCTTGTCATTGTTCGTCTCTACTCTGCTCTGGTGATCAGACTAATCCTGATGAGAATTTTTTTTACATGGGGCAAAATAATTGCAAAAAAAAAAATAAAAAAATACAGTGGAAAAAGTGTGGTACAAAACACAGTACTCCTCTTTTAATATCTATGTTTTTGTGTATTGTATTTAATTTCATAGTAACCGCATTTACCCTGTAACTTTTACACAAGGGCAATCCTTTGTGCACCCAAATCAGGTTTGTTTTTATTTCTTACACCTGGCCAAATACAACAAATGTTTTCAGAGTGACCTAATTCCTGTTCTTGTCTCTAAGAATAGAGTTGTTTTTTGTTTTTTTTTCTAACGCAAAACAACTTGCAAACTGGATGCCTCTTTTTTAAAAGAGGCAAATGTGACAAACTTGTTCTAAGTTTTGGCTCTGCTATGATTTGCATATCCTGTTCCTACAAAAAAAAAAAAAGAAGAAAAAACTTCCTGCTTTATTTGTGTGACTAAAATATTGCAGCTTAGTTTATTGTTGAGCTGGTAGAAGTTATTTTATATCCCACAAGTGCTTCTGAGTTGGCAATTGTTTTTTTTGTTTTTTTGGTCTACGTATCAAAACGTTTTGAGTGAAACTCTCACTGTTTGGGTCATAGATTACTACAGTCCTGCTATGCTGGGACTGAAGACGGACCAGGAGGTGCTGGGGGAGCTGGTGAAACTCAAAATCCCCCGAGTGTGGCAGGTGATGGTGAAACACAATGTGATGTGGACACTGGTGGTCTCTCGCTGGTTCATCTGTCTTTACATTGACATTTTGCCTGTGGAGGTGAGCATGTGTATTGTATATTTATATATTTTTAATACTTTGTATTCCAATACTCAATATTAGAACAATACTGGAAAAGAAAATATTTGAATCAGGAAACGTACTGACCTTTTTTTTTTTAAATGGAAAAACAAGTGGTTCGATGGTGTTTTGCAAAGGCCTTTTAAAATCTTTCCCTCTAGTCTCACACTTTACATACACACAGTTGATTCTACCGTTTGGTTTTAGACGAAAACGTGGCTTTGTGTTTCAGTTCCGACAGCGGAGTTTCTCCTCCTTTAAACGAGTTGTTGTTGCCGTCTCCCTCCGTTTGAGTTGAAACGATGTTGGCTCCAGTATTTGTTCTCCAAATATGGGAGGAACTTTTAACCAGGCAGTAACACATGGAGACGTTACGCCGTTTTCTCAGAAGTAGATCTGAACACAAACACTGCACGAGTTCGGGAACATTAGTGCATTAGTTTCATATATTCCTCCCTTACGCTGATGTTTTGGGTGGAGAACATTAGAAGGAGGATATAGGACAGAGAGCATTTGTGGAAAACTTTAAAGATGACTATATGTATATATATTTTTTATATATATATATAAAGAAAACTGATTTTTTTCCTACAAATTGTTTGCATTTCTAACAGCATTCTGTTTTTGTAGTTAAATTACAGATTTATAATTTTTTTTTTTTTACATGAAGCATTACATTTTTGTTGTTTTTCCCTCAGACCGTTATGCGGATTTGGGATTGCCTTTTTTACGAAGGTTCAAAAATCCTGTTCCGTGTAGCTCTTACGCTGATCCATCACAACCAGGCTCTGATCGAACAGGCCAAATCCCTGCCAGACGTCTGTCAGGCCTTCAAAGACCTCACGCAGGGACCATTTGTTGAAGATTGCCACCCTTTCATGCAGGTAAGAGGAACGGCGGGCGGCGGTGCGTCCCATCTTTGCTCCTGAAGGAAGTAGTTTCACTAGATGGGAGCTCGCTCAGAATAAAGGAGTTGTCCCGTTTTATTTCTGCTTCTGTAATCCCATAATCCTGGTGCTTCTCGCCTTTCCAAGAAAATCTTCACTGAACCGGGAAGTCTCTCCATGGCAACCCTGACCAAGCTCCGTGCGACGTGTCGTGGTCGACTCGCCGAAGGAGAATCCTGACCTGGACTTCCAAGAACGTCCGCCGATGCATTCCAGAAGGGTGGAGCTCCCAGTAGCTCGTTTACACCCGAGTCACTTTACACTGAACTTTGTCTTAAAGCATAAACTGAGACAATCAAAGCTGACATGTTGTGCTTTATGACCCGATGATTCCATTTCATGCCATGAAATTTGTCTTAAGTGAAGTTTCAGATTTTTGCACTTTAATCCAGGATGGCAAAAGCTAAATAGAAAAACCTGAATGAAAACAATGTTGTTCCCTTAAAGCACAGCCCAGGAATAAAAATGTCCACTGTATATCACATCTTTGTCAAAAATTTAAACACTTTTTGTTTTTTAGGTGAAAAGTTGAATGATGAAATGTATTGATTAAATATTTTGAGGTGTTCATGTTAAAACTAATCATTTAAGCGAAACTGTCCATTACTGGAGATGTGAGCTTAGTTTATACAATGTATTTAAATCAAGTTACCTTGGTGATCCAATACAAGCACAACCGAAACAGCTGCTCTGTCTGCGTTTTATGTACCAGGAATCACTCCAACATGGACTCTAAATATTTTTATTACATTACAGGAAAATGCATAACAGAAAATAGATATTTCCGTTTGAAAAAAAAAAAAAGCATTCTTATTTTTTGTAAGATGGGGGAAAAAAAAAGATGGAAACCAATTCATTTGGTACTTGATCAATGAGTTGTTACAGTAGAATACTGTAGGATTCTACTGTAACAACTCAGATTTAAATCCGAGTCATAAATAAAACAAGAACTCAATTCAGCAAACAAGCATTTGTGTACCCAAAATATTTCACTAAATGGCCATTAAGGTTAGATTTTTCTAGAATCCCATTCTTGAGTTCTTGGGAGGCAAGTTATAAAAGAGAAGGACCCAGAAGGTAAATAAAAGTGTAGTTTATTTTAGTCAAAACTGTCATTTTGACCAGATTAAATGTTGAAATGGAGAGAATTGCTTCCTGTGTTTAATACAACTCATACCCTCTGGTTCTTGCTTTAAATTTGAGAAGCTTCTCAAATTTCTGTATTGTTAAATAAATACGCAATTTACATCCAGAAAGGAGGGGAAACATTACACCAGCCTGAGAAATCTGAGAATCTCCCCTTTGCTGTGCTTCATTAGATATTTCCCTTTTCATCAAGGATCATAAAGGAGAAAAAAAAAATCCTCGACAGAATCTCTGGCATGAGATTTTAAAAGATGTTACAGCGTTTGATTCTCTTTTCTATCACAGATAATCACACAGCTTTAAAAAAAAAAAAAAAAAAAAGCGATTCAAGCGATGTGTTCACCTGTCAATATAATCTCTGAGCTGAAGCGTTGAGCGGACTTGCTCCTCACCAGCTTCAACGTGACAAACATCTAAAGTCAGCAAGTAGTTCACGTTTTATCACCCACACAAGAAGTCAAAGAAAGAAAAAAATATCCAGGACATGCAGAGAACAACTTTCACTCACTCAAACTTTTCCTTCACTTCCTCCCACAATTTTTATTTTCTCCCTCCTTTCTCCCAGCTCTCAGTCCGTAAGGCTCAAGTTAAACCAAGCGTCTGCTCAGATGGTCTGGTACCCAGCATGGCTCCTCTTCCTGCCTATTAGATACGCGATGAGGATGATGAGCACCAGACCAGCCAGTGCTGCTCCAACGATGATGGGGATCAACATCTGGTCCTGGTCCAACTGGCATTCCTCCGCTGCACAGAGCAGGTTTACAAAATAAATAAAGTGCTTTGGATCTCAATTTCTTCAGTTCTGAAAATGGAAATTAAACCCCAACAATACCTGCTGCAAACTGGCTGGCTGTGACTCCAAACGGCTGCACCTGCAGTCTGAATGTGTTGAGAGAGAAAGCTGGGACCACGAGCAGAGTCTGCTCCGTGTTGCACATGTAAGAGCGTCCCAGCGTGCTCCGGAGGTAGTCCAAACTGGTGTTACTGGCTGAGAAAGGAGCTGGGAAGAGAATGCACCAGAAATTTGGCCGAGCAAACGTTGGCATTCGGAGCAAAGACACTCAAAACCAGCGACCTACCAGTCATGTCGGACCAGTTGGCCAACAGATTTATCCCACTCAGATGGTACTGGCTAGTTATTGAGTTCTGCAAACAGGAAAACAGTGCTCACCGCTTGTAATGTTTGCACACGTTACTGGAAATTGAGTGGAAACGCAGACGTTACCATGGAGAAGGTCAAATTGAGCGTGGTGGTTTGTTGTGTTAAAACTAAGCTGGCAGTGGTGCTGCCACACGATCCTGATGTTACCGTCAGATTGGGGTTCACGTTGACCAATTCCTGAACAGTCTGGCAATGGAGAAGACAATTTTTTATTTTATTTTTTGAATACCTCATACTATTATGCTAAATGACAATGATCGAGCTTCATGCCGACCTTATTTTGAGCCTGAGAGACGTAGGAGACGTTGAGCTGCAGGCCCATTTTGGCGAGGAGACAAACGGTACCGCTGCTGTTCGTCACAGAGAACACTCCGGTCGCGGGCGTTCCTGGTGGAGTTGGTGCCGGAGCCGCAGTTGTAGTTGGAGTAGGGGGCGCTGTGGTGGTGGTTTGATCTGCCGCGCACACACTTTCTGTGACGAGACACAACAGATGCCTGGTCAGTTTCGATGCAATAATAATATATAAAAAAAAAAAAAAGATTGTTTTAAAAGAACAAAACGTACCTGCTGGGCTGAGGTCATTTCCTGGCATGTACGCCTCCAGCCTCATAGCAGAGAAGGTGACGGCAGCTCCTCCCGCTCTGATGGTGGTGGGGCTCGCACAGCGGTAGGTGGTGTTGATCGGAGCCCAGATCCCGACCGAGGAACTCACCACAGTCACTACGCCTGAAGGACACAAGCATGCAGGCAGTGAATTAGTTAACATATAATGTAACAAAAACTCATTCAGAACATCCACTCCCAAAAAAATTAAACCATCAAACTGTTATAGTTATATTCTAATGATCCCTATCTTTGTGTAATTGCTGCAATATTAGGAGCATTTGCGAATGTTTTTGTCAGAGTGAGGTCTGAGTTTTTTCACAATTTGTCACATACCATATTGTCACAACATGACAGCGTATGTAAAAAACAACAAAAAAAAACAACTCTTTTTATAAAAGTTAAATACTGCAGCTTTAAAACTGGTAGTAAACATGAGGCGGGACCACTTTAATGCACGTTCTCACCAGAGCCGTTAGACTGCGGGAACAGCGAAGTGTCGCTCAGGTTGTACTGGAGCGTCAGGTTAGTGACGCCATAAAAACTCCCATTTTTCGCGAAGCTGAGGCCGAGCGCGTGACCCGATCCGAACACCGCCACCAGCCACGGCGGGCGGCCTGCTGCTCCACACGAGCTGCTTGCTGCGTCGACCGAGGTGGAGTCCGGCAGAGAGGTGGAAACATTACTCTGAGGGGAGAAAACAAGCGAGTTCATAAGGTGACACAGCAGAGCATGTAATGCCGAGAAAAGGAGACGCTTTTCTGATTCTACGCAAGCAGAATATTGAGCACTTGCCGTGCTGTTGAAGGTGGTGTATGTGATGAAGAGCAATGCAGACAGCTCGGCTTTGATGCAGGTAGAGTTCCCTTCCTTCACCTCAAGAGTGACTGCCTGAGTGCAACCTGCAAATGAGGACACAATAAAGGGACTGAAAACAGCTACATAACATGGAGATATTTTATTTAAAAAATTGTATAAAATTCAATTAAAAGACTGGGACATGTATACTTAAGTTGTTGTTTTTCATACAAGTATGTTACCAATTTATATAAACCTGAGTTCTGAGTAAGAATATGAAGAACTACCACTTCTGCTAGGAAATACTAACGCATTCATATTTTTCACAAATTTAAAAAACAACGCTGTATCTTAATTATATATTTGGGGGGGATTTAGATGTTTTTCTTTGTTTTGTTTTTACAAAAGTGGGTCTTTTTTATTGGAGCTCAAAATAGTTTGTTGCAAATATTCCCAATAGTTTACAAGTCATTTATTCTTAGTTACTGGTTCGATAGCAATATTTTTCACAGTTTCTTCATAGTCTTTGCACTTTTGCTGCAAAGATTTCTGAACCTTGTATAAACATAATGTTCTACAGAAAAAAAGTTACAAATTGGCAGGGTCCAATGCGACTCACTGCTGATATCCATCTATAAAAACAAGAATGACAGTTCACACAGACCTGCCACTAGAGGTCGTAAGAAACAGGAAACTTTGAGACAAAGAGGAACAAACTTAATCTCTAAACCTTAAGATTGTGAAATAGAAATTGTCCTGCTGCGCCGAGATTTTTCCAGAGCTATTTATGCAGACTTTGTACGAAGTAGCAATGTAGAAATTGACACACGTACACAGAAAGCTGTTAATACATTATTCATAATGTGAAACCTGCCAAATTACTGTTCCCTGGCTGCGGGTGTGCGCAGTCCTGCTTTCAAACATTAACAGTGAACATCCTGAACTTGAATCACCAGCAGTTACCAGACTTGCATATTTAAACATTATCTTTTACAACACAGACTTTATTACAGTCTCCCCAAGAATCTATAAAAAAGTTAAAACCGAAATTATAAAAAAAAAAAAAAAAAAACTGGAATAAAAATACTTAATTCCTTGCATTGTTTTCTGTTTTCATATATATATTCTGCCTGAGTCATGATGCTATGCAGTTTTATTTATCAGACAGTCAGCTTCTCCTGATTTCTGACAGCTGAAATGACCCAATTGTTGGGAGCAGTCTCGGTTTCAGGCGTCTCTCCACCTCTGCCAGTTGCTGCCTTTTTTTAAAACGTGTCCCTCAGGTCACCTCTGTTCAAAGCGTAAACACGCAGTAGACAGCTTACACAACGCAACAATCCTGTCATGAGGTAAGCTACTGTGTGTACAAAGTATAAAGTATAAAGTTAGGGTTTTAATGTCAGACAGAAAGCTATCCCAAACTGCAGCTTGAGCACACCGGACAATATTGATGCAGGAATTCAACGACTCAGAAGAGAAACTGCAAACAGCCGGTGATTAAAAACTGCTAAGTTTATGTTTAAAGAATGCTCATAAATGAAAATATTCAGCACTATTCAAGCTAGTAATGGTCTGCTGTTTTTTCCCCCCGGCGTCAGCAGCACTATGTGCCTGTGTGTGTGACAGGACTTCACCAGTTTCTAAACTAACACTGTCTGTGGGCCCCTCCAGAGCTCTGAGCAACACAAAGCCATTATGGCAGTCATGTGAAGCTCTCAGATGAAACAACAATGAGGCTTATCTGTTGGTCCACAACATTCACAATACAAGGCCTTTATATCAGTATCAAATACAAAACAAACAAACAAAAAAAAAACACAAAGTATGGTGACTTCCTGAGACTACAGTCAGGATTTTCAAAGACAGGGAAAACCTTGAAAGGCTCTGAAATCGAAGATACTGATCCTTTTTTAGGGCAAAGTGTCCTTTAGTAGCTAATATTTATCATAAGGATTTCTAATTTATTTCACCAG